TATATGTGTAGGCTATATTTGGACCGTAAGACGCAGGGACTTTTTCCCCCCACTTCTGGGGGGGAAAAAGTGCGTCTTATGGTCCGAAAAATACGGTAATATCTTTGTATGAACTTTTTAAAGATTAAATTAATTGACCCTAAAATGCTCAAGTCTGTAACAACTTTGTTTGCGCTCTCTCCACAATCGGTAGCAGAGATCAAGAAGAAAGAGGGTGATTACAGGTGGATCGCTGCTGCGCAGGGAAGAACTCCACACTTCTCTCCATAAAGATGGCATGTTACACTGAGGCCAACATACGATCATTCATAGTAATGATGCGAACATTCTCATCTCAGACTCAGGTTCTGATTTTTAAAAAAACAAAACACCTACCACCAGAATCCAACTCTCGGACACTAACCTACTAGTAAGGCCACAAACAACACGTAAACTACTCTTCAGTATTAAATTCAAGCGACAGTGTAAACCGGGTTTGTTCCTTCAGGAAATCCCCACTACCAATGCTGCACACAACCATTTCCCCTTGAAACACTGGTTCTCAAGGCAAGGCTTTGCTTTATTTTAGAAATGTATCTCTTCATATCATACAATATATTGTAAATAAATTATAAATGCAAGAAGTCTCCAGTAATATAAAGTCCAAGTTTAAACACAATAGGTGAAGTAAACTAAAAAAATTTTGAAATTATTTCAAAAGAATCAGGAAGGCTAGCTTTAAATTAAAAAAAAAAAAAAAAAAAATCTAGTCCGCTCCCTTGGCTCAGTAACTGAGCTTCAATCTATGAACCAGGAGGTCACCATGTGATTCAGGTCAGGGTACAGGCCTGGCTTGTGGCTGGATCCCACGTTGGGGACGTGCAGGAAGCAGCCTATCAACGATTCTCTCATCAATGATGTTTCTCTCTCTCCCTCTTCCTTACTGGCTGAAATCAATAAAAAGTATATTTAAAAAATTATACTTGACGCTAAAAATAGTAAGTGTTCTACTGGAATTGAAAGAACTGACAACATAATCTTGAATCCTCTTTATTTAATTGATTTAGAGAAGGATTTTCCTTAAATGTCATTTTACTGACTAGTTCTGAATTACATCTTTCACCTGAAGCATTTTGACACTCCCATCAACTTTCTAAAAGAGAGGGTGGATTTTTTTTTTTAATGTTTTTATGAGTTGACTCTCAAAAGACAGAATTAGAGTAAAACTGAATAGGAGAAACCATTACCAACCTCCTCCTCATGATCATCATCAATAATCATGTGAGTAAGCCCTAGCTACGTGTTGATGTGTATGTGATAACATGTGACAACCTGGGAAATTTACATTACACAATGACCTAAAACCCATTTTACCTATTTATCGGATATCCTGTCTGCTTCTTACTTTACGAGACTTTTTTTGTTCACCGCAACAAATTTTAACATACAGGTATAGTGGTTCATTTACAACTTCCAGATACTATAAAAATCGTTACTTAGTCTCTTCAGCATCTACCGAAATAGCAGACTTCTCCTCAGGGCTCAGATTCCTTTATATTTCCAAACCCAAAGAATATTGTTGCCAATTAAAAAAAAAATACTATTAGATGACCACTCATTCGCAAAGGTGCCATTTTCCTGACACCCGAATGAACTACCCTTGACAAGATCTTGGTGAAGCTTTTATAGCACCAGGCACATCACAAACACACACACAGGTCAATGGCCAGGGCAGGGGAGTGTGCACACAGCTTATCGCCGGGACCAGCCCACTGGGACCCAGCCCACCGGGCCCACCGGTTCCCAGCCAGCCCGGCAGCCGGGCCGGGCCGTGCGAGCCCAGCACCCCGGCAGGTCCGCGTCCCGCAGCGGGGAGGGGGCGCAGCCAGGCCGCCCTCCGCCCTCACCACCCCTTTGTGCCGCTGGCTCCCACACACACTCCTCTGACCTACGCAGGGTCCACTCGGCCACATCGCAAGCACCGGCCCCTCCCACCGTGGGCCCAGGCCCGGGCCTCCCGAAGGGGGTAGGGGGTGGGAGGTGGGAGGTGGGGGAACGGAGTCTGGGCGGAAGGGCCCCGAGCCGGCGGCGGGGGAAAGGGCCGTGGCGGGGGTCTGCCCGCGGGAGACGGGAGCAGGAGGTCGCGGGGCAGAAGGGCAGGGTCCCCGAGGCGGGGGTCCTCCCTGGGGGGTGGAGGTCGCGGGGCGGAAGGGCAGGTTCCCCGAGGCGGGGGTCCTCCCTGGGGGATGGGGGTCGCGGGGCGGAAGGGCAGGGTCCCCGAGGCGGGGGTCCTCCCTGGGGGGTGGAGGTCGCGGGGCGGAAGGGCAGGTTCCCCGAGGCGGGGGTCCTCCCTGGGGGATGGGGTTCGCGGGGCGGAAGGGCAGGGACCCCGAGGCGGGGGTCCTCCCTGGGGATGGGGGTCGCGGGCGGAAGGGCAGGGTCCCCGGAGGACGCGGGCGGCCAGCTCACCGGCAGAGGCAGGCGGCTCTCCCGCGTCGCCGGCGGCGGGCGCCAGGGTGACCCGGCCGTCCCTCCAGACGCGGATCTGCGCGGCCGAGCGCACGCGGCGGCGGGGCTGGCCGGCGGCGCGCAGGGAGCCGCAGCACTGGAAGCACACGGCCCACGCCTGCTCCTCGTTGATGGGCTGGTTGTAGAGCCGCAGGATCTCCTCCAGGCTCAGCGCGTCCTGCGGGCCCCCGGCCGCGCCCGCGGCCTCCCCAGGCTCCGGCGGCCCCTCGCCGCCCGCCGCCGCCGCCCCCCGCGGCTCTCCGCCGCCCGCGGGGCCGGCCGGCTGAGCCATCCCGCGGCTCGGCGCTGCGCTGGACCGCCGCGCCCGTGCCGGCGTCTCCTCAGCCCCGGAGCATCGCCCTGGCGCGCGGCCGCCACCGCCTCCTCATCCCCGGCGGCTCCGCCCTGCCCGCCGCGCGCGCCGCCGCGAGGGACCAGGCGGGGGGCCGGCGCGAGGGCCTGGGCGCCGTGGGCGAGCGCAGGGCGGCGAGGGCTCCGCGATGGTCCGGACCAGGCCGCCGCCAGCCCGAGACGCGATGGCGTCCGCCGGCCCCGCCCTCCCGCCGCGCTCCGAGCGGGGGCCGCCGCGCTCCACGCTCCCGGTCCGCGCGGTCCGGGGCTCCTCCGGCTGCAGTTGCGCCCGGGCCCCAACCGCGTCCGCCCGTCCCCACCCCAGCACCACGGGGAGATCCGTGGCACAGGGTCCGCTGGGAACGGGCGTGCCGAAAGGGTAATGAGGAACTCGAACCCGGCCCGCAGTGAATGCACAATGAAATGAAGGTCTGTGTCAGCAGCGCGGCCTCGGGCGACCCTCCCCGCGCCTCCCGCGGGCCCCCTCCCGCGCCTCCCGCAGCCCCGGAGGCGATTTCTCCTGATCAGGCTTCTTGGTACTGCGGGGGCCTCGCTGCGTCCTCGTTGCGTCCTCGTACCCGCACCCAGCTCTGCTCTTTTTGGGTAGCTATCGCCACCAACAAACCCTACCATTTACTTCGTTTTGTTTATTGAATACCTCCTACTGACTCCCAACTTCCCTGTAAGCTCCATGAGCACAGGGATCCGTGGGTTTTGCTTACTGACTTCTCCCAAACGCATAGACCAGGGCCTGGGGTATAGCATGCTGTAAATCATTTGCAGACGATAGTATCGGCCTCCTTCCAGATTCATTTGTAATGTTTGTACATCTCCTCACTAAGATCATGTCTGCAATGACCACTATCATCAAAGGCTAGTTCCTATGATGCGGAAGTGATAACACAGTGGCAAGATTGAATGGAGGGCAATTGGCTGAAGAATAAAAGAAATACTCCTGGGCCTTGCTGGACTCATTAAGTATGCAAAAAGTATAAATCTTAGACAAAATAATCACTGGTAAAAATTTTAATCGGCAACATTTCACTCTAAGGCTAGGCCTGTGTGAGAATCTTACAGAGTTGAAAGCATCAAACAAGTAAATTTATTTATAGTTAAGTACCAATAAATCTTTTAAAGGCAGCTTTTATGTGTGAAACTAGACATTGCATACTTAGTATCTGCGGAAGAAATTACAATGGTCGATTCTTAATGCTTAAGGTACCACAATACATACAGCAGGAGTGGGGAGGAGAAAAGCAAAAGGATATAAAAAGGTAAGAAATTTAAAGAGGTACCTTATTATAATTTCACTACAAGAGATACAAAACAACCCTAAGTAACCTCACTCAGGGATGGATTCATAATCCTGTCTGTGGCACTATATACCAGTCAAAACCCTGAAAAGATCTAAATCCTTATGATATAGAAATGATAGATTTATAAAACCTTTTTATTTAAAACATGGAAAAACATTCCCCCAAATCCCTATTTTAAATGTTTAGATCCTGTGTGAATTTTGAAAGTGCAGGGAGCTTTAAAATAACTTCAACCATGCAGAAAAACTTACTTGGAAATGGTCTACTTTTATAGACAACATCACCATCTTCTGGCCTTATAGGATATTGCAGCCATGTTGCACTGATAATTATAGCCAAAAACCTATTGCATTTTTGTCCTTGCCTTACCCCCACCCCCTCCAGACAAGCTGAGAATAAACTGAGGAATCCATGAGGCTTAGGGCAGTAAATAAATCTCGAAGTAAAGATAAAGAAAGGAAGTAGGAAGAGAGTGGAAGTGAAGAAACAAATCCAAACCTTATCTTTAAAAGATGGACTTTTTTCCCCCCAATACAAATTTATGAAAGCCCTTCTGTAGTATATAACCCTGTGATTGATTCAGTGCCATATTTTTCTTCCTAAAATGTATTTAAATTAAAAAACAAAACAAAAAAAACTTTTTGGGGCAAACACTTCACAAAATATGTAAATGTCTAATCTCTGTTGTACATCTGAAACTAATATATTGTATGTCAACTATAATTGAAAAAGAAAAAATTTATCACTTAGGGAAGGAAAAAAACGTTATTTTAAAAAATATATTTTATTGATTTTTTTACAGGAGGAAAAGAAAGGGATAGCCAGAAACATCGATGAGAATCATCGATCAGCTGCCTCCTGCACACCCACACTGGGGATGCGCCTGCAACCAAGGTACATGCCCCCCACTGGAATCGAACCTGGAACCATTCAGTCCGCAGGCCGACACACTCTATCCACTGAGCCAAACTGGTTTCGGCAAAAACTTTATTCTTTAAAACAAATTCACAACAGAATTTTTTCCTTTCCCAAGTGAATTTCTTGCCTTTGTGAGCTAATATGAAATTAAACTTGAGGCAAAATGACAAGTAGAATGTTATTTGACGTTTCTTCTACATGCAGAAAAAATAAAAGGTACTTAAAAATTCTATTAAAAATCTAGTCATTAAAAACCTAAACACTTGATGCTTTTTTTGCACAAAGACAGCATAATTCTAGTACTTTTTGTATGATTATAATAACCCTTTGAAATTTTATAAATCCCACCATTCATTATCACGGGACTCTTAAAAAGTAACTGTTGACAACTCAAAGGCTATCAGAAATCAATATATTTTCAGGGGTTCAAGAAATAATGTGGAATAACTTGGCACCTTTCCATTTTCTCAGGTTCAAATACCTTTTATATACAGTATATTTTGTCCCAAACACGTCAATTTTTTTAATTCTGAGGCATCACTTTTATTTATTTTAATATATTTTTATTTATTTTAGAGAAAGAGGAAGAGAGAGGGATAGAGAAATAGAAATATCCATGAGGAAAGAAAATAGAATCATCCATGAAGGAGAACACTGACTGGCTGCCTCCTGCACACCCCCTACTGGGGATGGCACCTGTAACTATGGTCTGTACCCTGACGGGGAATAGAACCCAGGAGCTCTTGGTTCCTGGGTCAACACTCACCCACCAAGTCACACACCAGTCTGTGGCATCATCACTTTTAAATAATTGTTCTATATAACTAAAATGTCTGAATAATTCAAATAAATATTTATATGTATTCTTCCAAGTGCTGAGAGATCTGTGAAAAATAGTGGCATGTTTACTCTGAATATGATTTTGTGTTGATTTTGTTGTACTGATTTAAAAAAATGGAATCCTTGACATTTTTTCTTATCTTATATTTACTTATCATCTTTGCAGAATAAATGTACTTCATGCTTCATACTCTGGATGTGCTGGCTGAGCTGCTCTGAGTCTTTCAGGGAGCACGGCCTTCAGGGAACACAATTGGCCTATGCAGCCCAAGCTTATCCCAGACACTCCCAGACAATTGCTCCTAAGAGACACATTCACCTAGAAAAGTGCACCAAAAAGGAAAAAAAATAGAACAGCGTTGTTTTTTTTCAATATCATAACCTAAATTTTCATTGCCCACAATTATAATACCTTATAATTTTACAGTGATAGTTTATACTTTCAAAGTGCTTTCTTTAGTTATACAACCTCTATCTTACAGATTATAAAATACAGGACTAGTAAATGAGATGGGACTGGAATCCAAGGCTCTGACCAGCTGAGCTCTTTCTGCTGTTACAATCTCTCTCCAAACTTGCACAGAGCAAGAAAAAAGTCCTGACACTTCATCCTTCAGTCCACCAAACATGACAAGCAGATGCTTTAAAATTTGTACTTATTGATATGAGTGAATAAGCTTTTGATATTTTATACACTTTAAATGATGTGATACCCCATATCCTTGTAAATTCATTGGCAATTAAGTTTCACCATAGAGTCATCATAGCAATTATCTTCCATCCCCATCAAAGCACTGTAAATCACTCCTCTAAAGCTAATTCCACCAACAATCATAAAGGCAATTTAAAATGTATCTTTTATAATTTTGATAATCAGTTGAATATTAACCAAAATCTTTAAAATTAGTCATGAAAACTAGCATGTGACCTTATATGCAGAACTAAGAAGTACAAAGGCCAGAGAAGAAGACAACAAAATTGGTTTTCTCTGCCCGATAAACTTGTAAAGAATTAACTTTTTCTTTCCTGTGGCAAAGGTATACATTTATTGGAAAATAACCATTAATACCTTTTTTGCTAAGTTATATACTAAGCCGTTGTTTTCCACAACATTTTCATTCTGTAACATTTAAGTTTATATGTTTACCAATTCTACCTTGAGATAAAGTTATATATACCCACTGGTAAAAATTGAGAAAAAGAGGAATAAGGTAAAGTATATGAACAGTGTATTCATGAGGGACTCTGGAAAATACAAGGCCAAACAAGTCATGTTTCACCTTAAGGTGATTCTCCTTTGAAACAATTACTATGTTTTAAATATGTTTCTATTGACCTTAGAGAGAAAGGAAGGGAGAGAGAAACATCAATGAGAAAGAACCATCATTTAGCTGCCTTCCCCATTCCCCCAATTATTTTTAAACCAACAAGGAGAGATGATATTCTGATTCTGAATGTAGGTGGAATTATTAGCTTCAATTAGTTAAGAAGATTTGATTTGGAAAAGACGGCATATAGATCTAAATTTTAGGCCAACCCAGTATTTTACACTTATGGAAATTTTAGTCTGGTATTATAGAATAGACTAGTATAATAGGGACAGAATTAAGTGTCTAGAAATAAGCACATATATCAATGGTAAACTGATTTTTGACAAGGTTGCTAAGAACATTCAACAAGGATAGAATCCTCTTTCTTTCCACCAAATGGTGCTAGGACAACTGGATATTCATATGCAAAAGAATAAAGTTAGACCGTTACCTCACAACATATACAAAAATTAAATGAAAGTAGACTAAAAACCAAAGTATAAGAGCTAAAACAATGAAACATTAAAAAGAAAAAACACATAGGGATAAATAAATCTTCTTGAACTTGGATTGGGCAAAGAATTCTTATAGACATGACAACAAAACCAAGAGCAACAAATGAAAAAAATACACTAAATTTTACCAAAATTAAAAACATCAGTGCTTCACAGAGCACAATCAAGAAAGTGAAGATAACCCACAGAATGGGGAAAAATATTTACCAAGCATATATCTCATAAGAGACTTGTACTAGAATATAGAAAAAACTCTTATACTCTATAATAAAAACACAAATTACTCGATTAAAAAATGGGCAAAGGATCCAAAAAGACATACAAATGGCCAATAAGCACATGAAAGGATGCTAAACAAAATTAGTCATCAGGGAAATGCAAATAAAAACTACAATGAAATACCTCTTTACATCCAGTAGGATGGCTAGAATAAAAAAGACACATAATAATAGGTGTTAACAAGAGTGTGGGCATATCAGAATCCTCACACTGCTGGTCAGCTTGAAAAATGGTGCTGCTGCCGAAACCGGTTTGGCTCAGTGGATAGAGTGTCAGCCTAGGAACTGAAAGGTCCCAGGTTCAATTCCGGTCAAGGGCATGTACCTGGGCTGCAGGCACATCCCCAGTAGGGGGTGTGCAAGAGGCAGCTGATCAATGACTCTTATCGATGTTTCTAACTCTATTCCTCTCCCTTCCTCGGTAAAAAATCAATAAAATATATTTAAAAAGAAAAAAAAAGAAAAATGGTGCTGCTGCTTTGGAAAACTATTTGGCAGTTAACCAAAATGTTAAATATAGAATTTCCATATAACCCAGCAAATCCTCTCCTAGGTATATATACCCAAGGAAAATGAAACCATGTGCCCACACAAAACCTTGTATACTGAATACTTATAGCAGCATTATTCATATTAGCCAAAAGGTGGAAACCACCAAAATGTCTATTTGACTGACAAATGGATAAACATATATGGTATATCATTGAAATGAAATATTTGGCCACAAAAAGCAATAAAGTAATAATACATGCTACAACATGGATGAATATTAAAGATATTATGCTAACTGTCACGAAATACAATCTATTATATGATTCAATTCATGTAACATTCCAGAATAGGGAAATCTATATTGAAGATAAATTAGTAGCTGCTTAGAGGTTGGGGTAGTGGATGGGTGTAGATAATGGGGAAACAGAAGAGTAATAGCTACATGGTACAGGATTTCTTTCTGAGGTGATGGAATATTCTAAAAAACTAGTGATGGTTGCCTATCTGTTTATAGTACAAACCACTGAACTGTGTACTTTAGGTTAGTTAATTATATGGTATGCAAATTACCTCAATAAAGCTGCAAAATATTTTAAAATGATGAAAAATCTGTTTGCTTATGTTCAAATTGAATAGATTTTTGTAAACTCTGACAATTAACTACTTTTGTATTTATCATTATTCCCATACTCTCACCATACATTGTTGGCAAAGAAAAAATTTTGTAAAAGTTAAAATAACTGGCTAGTTACAACTACTATGTAAATAAATGGATTTCAGAAGTAATTCTCAGAATATAAACTATTACTCAAATATTTTCTAGATGCTTATTAGTGGCCACTATCCACATGCCTCAGTCATTTACTAAATCTTTACCCAAACAAATGGTAGAATTCTACATGTCTTTATGTAATTGACATACCACAAGGAACCTCACAGACTCTCAGGGCCTCAGCTTCCCTATGACATCCTCCCTGAACAATTATTCTGGCCTCATCTGTCAGTGACTTGATACCATAGTTTTATGTATTAGATTATGTGACAGGTACCATAAAAGACAGATAGATGCCTTCCATATTCGTACCTCTTGGGCAGAACCACTAATATGAAAAATGGAAATCTGGATTGGTATGGTGGCTCAAGGAGCGAACAGCACATTTTAAAAAAAAAATTGAGATAGCATTATGGCAACAAAATTTTTACATACTATAGGTTGAATGGCCATACCTTATAATCCCATCCCCACATAGAGGAAAAATTCATATCTGTGTACATAAATACAAAAAAAAAAGGTAAATTCAAATTCAGAACTTAGTTCTAGAACTAATCTGCTAGTAGAGATATGTGTGCTTGGACAGGAAACTTCTCTATACAGTGGATTAGAAGACCTAGGATTCCTATCAAGTCCAAAACCCTGTTATTCCAGGCCATGAAATATTAAATCATGTGTAAAAATAGATAAACATAAAGGCATTTAAAATTCTAGTTCTGATTAGACTAGTACCTTCAAAAACACTAGGAAACGTCTGTTTTGGAATATTAGTACAAGCCTAAATTCAGTAGAATCAGAAAAAGAAATCTCTCATTTCATAGAAATGTATGTGAACTGCCTACCAGCTAATAACCTCCTCCCCTTTCCTTCTAATATCCATGATTATTTCAGCACTGGTGTCAAGTAGTTAATTCACAAGCCAATTTTACAACTCAAATGTAATTACAACGATTATGCCAACCAAATCTCAGAAGAAAATATTAAACATTTAAAACCCACCTTTAATGCATTAATGATCATAACTTGTGTTGTAAATGTATACTATGCTATATAAACAGTCTGTTAAGGTCCTTCTAAATTGGATGGCTTTGCCCTGGCCAGCAGGCTTGGTTGGCTGGAACATCATCCTGTATACCAAAAGGTTGCAGGTTCAACTGCCAGTCAGGGCACATTTCTAGGTCACGGGTTTAATCGATCAATATTTCTTTCTCACATCGATGTTTTTCTCTCTCCCCACCTTCCACTCTCTCTAAAATCAGTAAAAACATATTCTTGGATGAAAATTTTTTTAAAAAATTATATGGCTTCTACTTTATGTTTGACTATTTTAGATTTTATAGTATAGCCCTAGCTGGTTTGGCTCAGTGGATAAAGCGTCGGCCTGCAGACTGAAGGGTCCCAGATTCATTTCTGATCAAGGGCATATGCCTGGGTTGTGGGCTTGATCCCCAATAGGGAGTGTGCAGGAGGCAGCCCATCAATGATTCTCATCCTTGATATTTCTCTCTCTCCCTTCCTCTCTGAAATCAATAAAAATATATTTAAAAAGAAAAAAAAATTATATAGACTTTAGCCAATCTGCTTTTTAATTACCAACAGCTAGAAAGCAATGATAATTTCATTGGTATAAAAGTACATATTAAAAAGATCATTTAATTCCTATTCTTATCTACTTAAATAGGTAAATAGATAACATTCCAGAATAGACTACACAAGCTAAATACACAGGTAAATTTAATTTTTATAAAGAAAAATTATAAGAGTAGTAAAATTTTAGTGATAAATGCACTAAAGTACGTTATCTTCTGAAATAAACCATTTTCAGAGAAAAGCGTTAATTCATGCCTATTAAAGTGCATAAAAAGGAAATTTATTTTAGAATTTATATCCAAGGAGCTCTTATGAATACATGAAGCCCAGTCTCAATGATAATATAGCCTTGATCTTAATATAGTCTGCCTCTTAGTACATGCCTCATAAATAGTTTGCTCCCAAAGTTGAAAAGTTTTAGCCCTAACAAGCAATTTTCTCTATTGATAGCTTTATGAGTAATTTTGGCAACAGAATAAAAAAGTCTTATTTTGCTAATTTTTTAAAATCATGTCAGTCTCACAAAAAAAATCTAATTATTGTTTTCAATAAAAATTGACACAAAAAGGATATTCTCATATTTTTAAAACAAGTTAAACCTTAAATATTTATCCTATGCAAATAAAATGAAACGAAGAGTAAATTTTAAGATATCTTTAGTTAATTTTTTAAAAAATGTTAATTGTATTCACAATGGTAAATTAATGAAAAGAATAACTTGCAGAGTCAACTGGTATACCGTTCC